CACCCTTACACCATGTGTGGGAGCCGAGCCTCAGCTACCCAACCTGGGAAATGGGTGAGAGCAGAAGCCGCCTCATAGGGCTCTAGGGAGCAATAAATGTGAAGAGGCAGCTCTTAGCATCTGCGAGGGATGCTGACTGATGCTCACGGCACCTCCCCAGCGCCTGGCTTTGTTCTTAGGGCTTTTCATTTGATCCTCAATGAAGATCAAATTTCATTTGAGTCCCCACCTGTGAGGTGGGGACTATTATTATCTCCATTTCAAAACCAAAGAAGCTGAGGCCCAGAGAGGTGAAGTGACTTGCCCAGGGTAACAAAGCTGGGAGGCAGAGGAACCAGGATGCAAGCACTGGCCACCTGGCTCCAGAGCCCACTCTTGTTCCCACAGCTCATCTGCCCCAGGGGTCCTGCCAGTCAGGGAAGCCGCTTCTCCCAGGTCAGGACCGTCTGTGTGGAACATCCCTTGTGGCTCCTCTTACAAAGGGATGGTCACACCCACGCTGGAGAAAGGGTAGTTTGAGCGGCAATTATAGGCCCCTGCTTTTTTTGCCTTATAATATTATTTGCTCCTCCAGCTGTCTCTGATGTCAAGGGGGAGAGCTGGAGGGGAGCACAGGGGCCAGTCAGGTGGCATGAAGAGCGGGGAGGGCACTCAGGCAGGCAGAGGGCATGCCGGCTCAGGTGAGCTGAGCCGTGCTGAGGCCCTGCAGGTCCTTCCCAGGCTGCAGCATGTGTATTGGCCCTGGAGATCTCATCCTGGGTTAGGGCCCCTTCCCTACCACAATGGCCTGGGAGGAGAAAGCAGGGAGTCCTTGGTGTTTCAGAAAACGAGCGAGCCTGGGGTGAGCATGGGTAGTGGGGACAAGCCAACAATGTCAGGCTTGGCACTGGATGGGGTCAGTGAGCAGGGACTCAGGAAGGGATGGGATGGGTCTACCATGTACCCATTGTGGGACGGCGGGAAGGTGACATCCAGCAGGCACTCGGAACCTCTGGGAGGGTTCCGCTGCCTTCTGCCACCTGATGGGGTCACACTGACTACCCGGGGGGGGGGGTGATCTTCACTGGGCGCAGCATCTACTGATAGAACATGCATGCAGTAGGCCTTGATAAATGCTAAATGCACAAATGATTGCGTGGACTCAATGATGATCTAGAAGGTCTCCTGGTAGGTGGCATCTGGGGCCATCTCTGAGCTCCAGAAGGTGGGCATGCCACGCCCACCCGGAAGCGCAGGGAGGTTTCAACCCCATGCAACCAAACGCACCCACCACGATGGGAACCAACACACGCACCGGGAGAAGCAAAATGTCTGGCCGGTCACGTGACAGAGAATCTCACTGAACATCGTACAGTCCTGTCTGCTGTGTGTGCAGATGAGGAAACAGCTTGGGAGCAGCGGAGGGGGCCTCTCCTGCCTCTCCTGGGGGTTGGAGGCCACAGCAGCCCCCGATTCCCAAACATCTGTGTTTCGATCAGACCCAGGTGAAAGTCTCTGTTCCAACCCAGCCAAAGGATTTCCCATCATGCAGGCTACACTCTTGTCATGGTGGAAGAGGAGGGAAGCAGAGAAAAAATAATCTCCCAGCCGAGGTCCTGCCAGCCTCCGGGCTGGGCCAGTGCACCCATTTCTTAGAAAAGTTTCACCTCCGATTTAGCATAACAAAACTTTTAATTTAGATGTTTTCATCTCTCTCTCCAAGTAAAAATAAGTTTAAAATAATGACTGTAATAAATGAAGGTAATTAATTGTAGTTTGTTCCTTTACTGTCTAGTCAGCTTAATTTTACCTTTTCAACTAATAATGAGAAAATAATTTTTGTGCTCGGAGGGTTAATGATATGTAACTGCGAGAACTGCTAATTGCATGTTGCAATCCATCCATCAACAACCCCATCTGTGCGACTTGATTATGTTTGCTAAATTATTGCTTTGAATTATCTTTCATAAAGCAACTTTTGTAATTAGCGGGGCTTTCGTTTTGCTCTTTTCTCTGCGCGCAAGGATATTCAAACTTTGGCCATTTCAAGCTGTCTCCATTAAGCCACCTTCTCTGGCTGTCTTTGTTTCCCTGAGCAGGGGAATCAAGACTGTCCTCTAAGCAATCAAGGCGGGGAGGAAAAGCTTCCTTGATTCACAGCAGGGCAAATTCACTTCCTCTCCGCCCCCCTCTCACCAGCACACGCGAGCGCGAGCACGCGTGCGTATACACACACACACACACACACACACACACACATCCACACACCGAGAAAAGGGGGAAAAAGACCCCCACATCCATAGAATGAACAGATAAAGAGGATGCCCAGATCCTGTCTGTCCAGGGAGCTGCTGGAGTGAAATTAAGGAATGAACTTGAACATGTTATATTTCAACAAGAGGCCCGCGCCGGGGAAGAAGGGATGACGGGAACGCTATTCAGCCCTGGCGTTTTATGGGCTAGTTTATGTGACTTGGGATGGTGTTTGCCTCCGGGAATATTCCTGGGAGGTGATTAATGCCCACTTGGGAATCCTCAGCTCCAGCGCAGAGCCTGGTGGCTCGAGAGAGGGAAGCGGCATAAAAGATGAATCCTCATTAAAAAAATTAAAATGAAAATCAAATTTGGATTATAAATGGCCTGTGTGTGTGCAGTTTGTTCTGGACGAAGGAGATGCTTTTTATTAACACCTTTCTATGGCGGGTCTCCCCCCACCTCCAGGCCCAGGGAGGGACATGGCGGCCGCGTGGATTAGTCCATAGATCAGAAGGAAAGCAGGGGTTTCGGGAATAAAACTCCAGACAGATGTAGTCTTTTTGGTACATTAAAGGGACGATGGAAAGCCCTCTTAAGAAATTAACGAAGTTCTTTGAAGATCCCCAGCTATTAAAACAGCGTCCATCCAACATGCCACTTGGGTTTGGACATGAGAATTGGGCTTTGTCTTCCCTTTGGCCCCCATCCCCACCCCACAAGACTCTCTCTTCCTCAACATGTATTGAGTAGCAGCTGTGTGCCAGATATCATGCCAAGTGTCTCGATCCTGCTTTAGTTTTCTGAATCCTCACCATTAGCCTCGTTTGCTAAAATGAGGAGGAAAGCTAAAGCTCAGAGAAGTTTAGGAACTTCCCTGAAGCCACACAGCTAGTCCTTCCCATGGACTCCACTACGCTGCACTTGCACCTTCTGGGGCTCACTGCACAAATCCAGTGTTTAATTTTCTCCTTCTGTAGGATGATGTAAGTCATGCTGGCTTCCTAAAAGGACAGAAACCCCCGGATTTTATATAAAAAGCCTTGGACAGCTAGGGAGGAAGGAGGCAGGCCCAGCCCAGGCATAGTGTAGGCCAAGTCAACCTGAATGGGAGTCATCGATAATTGAAAACAGCAAAGATATTGGGTTTTAACTCCACTCTTCCTTAAGAAGATGTGTAGCTATAATTATTATCCAGTTCTATAGATGAGAAAACAGAGGCACAGAGAGGTTAAGTATCTTGCTTTAGGTTAAAAAGCAGAGGCAGGATGGCCACCCAGTTGGCTTCCTAGTCTGTGCTCTTCATGCCCTAGCAGCCAAGAGCGGGGCGCTCCAGGAAAGCTGTTCCTACTAGCTCAGTTAATCTCCAAATGACACAAAAATATCTGTCATGCCTTGATTCCCGTTTAACAGATAAGGAAACTGAGGTGCTAAGTGGCTAAGAGAAGCTCACCCACACCAGCCCAAGCAATGGGTCAGCCAAAGTGAGGTTCCATACAAACAGCTCAATGCTTGTCTTCTGGCTGCGCAGAGGGCTCAGCTGCCGGAGAGGGTGTGTGTGTGTGTTCACACATGTGTGTAGAGCCCCCCTCATGGATCAGGAGTTGGCATATGGGGGCCTCTTTTTAAACACACACACACACACACACACACACGCACGCACACGCACACTCGCACACACATACACACAGAACCAGGACAACACACTTCTAACCTTATTAGTCTTCTTTTTTTTTTCCCCTCCCTCCCTTCTAGCCCAGGCACCTCACAACCAAATGAATCAATACCGGATGGTCCTATAAATAAATAAGCACATCAGTCAACTTGGTAATAAAATGAAGGGCTGAAAAATATGGAAATCAGCGACATTTGCGTAAATCCAGTTATTGTTTACTTTAATATTTGCCTTATGCGCTTATGCGGTTCCAAAGAGACAGATTCAAAATAATGTGGTGTTGGGGGGATGACAGGCTTAAAAAGCAAGTCCAGAGGGAGCTCTGAGAAGGGCCAGCCCTGCCAGGGCCCCGCCTGAATCCAGGGGAGGAGGGAGAAGAGCCCCTGATGACGCAGCAGTCGAGAGCTGATCCCACTACACTCCCCTGCATCGACGCGATTCCACTGTGCCTAACCTACCTCCTCGCCAGCCAGACAAGCAGACATTCTCAGCACCCCGGTCACAAAGGCAAGCCCAGAGGAGAAACGGGCGAGGTCCAGCCGCATCATGGGGCCCCAGGAAGGTGAGAGAAAGGACCAACTGAAGATAGGGAGGCTGCTGCTTGAGGAATGGGGACCGCAGGGTGGCAGGAAAGAAAGCAGTGTTCAGCCTGGCCTCAGAGAGTGGCTGGTAGAGAGGCTTTCGAGGCAAGCTGGTAACCGACTGAACTTATCTGCAAGGCTGTCTTCCAGAACCGAGCAGAGCAGAAAACCCGGAGGAGAGCAAAGGTCGCAGAGCCCGAACCTCTGATTTAAATAATGGGAAACCAAGCCTGGGAGGGGAGGCAGTTGGCTCAAGGTCAAGGGTGTCCTATGTAGCGGAGCTGGTGTGTGGCAGGGCAAGACAAGGGCAAGGGAGATTTCTTGGGCTCAGACCCTGGAACCCATGAAAACAGAACCCACTAGCTGCCCTGGAGGAAATGGGACCGTCTGCAATGGAGGTGGGCGAGGCTCCCAAGCTTCCAGAGGCTGCTGGCCTCCCCTGGCAGATTGAGATATGGGATCCGAGAGGGGCGGGGGGTACTTTGATGACATGCAGGAGCCTTGGGCCTTACCTCAGCTTGGAAGCTTTTTAATACAGGAGCCACCATCTCTCTGATTTCCTGAAAAAGAGAGGGGCAAAGAGTTCACTGCAGAGCCAGAAGCAGCCCCTGCTGCCTGCTCACTGGTGTCAGTGTCGCCCATGGAGGTCCCCGCTCCCTGGGATCCCACACGCATGCACCCACACCCAGCCCCCGGGGTGCCGAATCAAATCAGCCTGGGAGGCTTGCGGCCCCACATCAAGTCTCGGCCCTGCGGGACTCCAGGAGCCACACACGTGGACGAGCGGGAGAGGGAGAGAGGCAGTGGTGTTTCCCAGGTGGGTTTGATCCAGGGAGCTTTTTGTGCAAAGGGCCCACGGAACCGTGTTCCCCCATGAGCCACTCTTGGGAGCAGCAGCTGGAGAGGTGGCCCCCTTCTTCGTGCCCTGCACCCCATCTCCAAAAGGCCTTCCTTGCACAAAACCTGTCCTCAAGACTCTGCTCTGCAGTGTCTGCTGCAGCACCTCCTCAGCGTCCCTACCCAGCGGCCCTGCAGCAGCAAGGCGGCTCTGCACTTTAGCAAGGCCACTTTCTGCTCCTCTTTCTCACCAGAACGTGCAGTTCTGGGGGCTTGGTTGGGTCACCCCCCATGGCGCCCAGTTCACAGGGAAGGCTGTATCCCATGAACCCTGAAGCACTTGGCTGTCTTCAGGAGGAAGGTTTGGTCTGGTGGCCCCCAAGCCCCCTATCTCCAGACCCAGCCTCCTAACTCCCATCAGTGACCTTGAGGGTCCTAAACACTGGGGTTCCCTGGAGGAGCCCCAGGCCTCTAGCAAGCACAGGGAGCTTTTACATGGGCGTTATCAAGTCCCAACCCTAAATGTTCCAGTTTCTGCTGAGACCCCTGGTGACTCCTTTAAGCAGTCACCACACCCACAGGAACTCTCCCCCACCCCATGAGATGAGGAGGGCTGGAGCATAGGGAGGGAGGGGGCAGCAGAGAGAAGCAAGGGAAGAGATGGGCAGAGACCACCTATGCTCAGGTGAAGCATCAACCTGTTCCTGATGAAAGAGGCCCCTGGAAAGACCCTGGGCGCCCCCTCACTGCTTCTTATGCCAGGGGCTTCTCAGAGCCTCTGATATCCTGATGCTGATACCCTGCCGGGACTCGAGGGACATGCTGACCTGATCACAGAGAGCCAAGTGTGTGTGGGCCGAACCGGTGGGAAAGGAAACAGACCTGGGCTGCAGGCTGGGGAACACTGCCGCCTGGCAGGGAGCCTCCCTGCGGCTGGATTTACCAAGCAGTCTCAAAGACATCAGAAATCCAGTTTTGGGGGCATGTCCAAGAGGCTGAATGTTGGCGACTTATTGTGACATTTGTATGACTTTACAAATAAAATATATCAGCTAGAAGCCTGTGGCCCAGGTTCAGGAAATGCTCAGGCTGGGAGGGGCCTCAGAAACCAGTGCCTGAAATCACAGCAGGGGGGACAGAGGCCCCAGCAGCTGGTTTGTTCGTGGCTGTGAATGCAGGTCATCAGGCTCCCAAAACAGGCTCTCTGCACAAACCCACCCTCAACTGAATTTAGGGGGTTCACACCTGCGGGCTGCGGAAGGGGTGGTGGCCATTCCCAGAAGCTCACTGTCCTGTCTGCCTGACCCTGGGGGGAAGCAGAGCAAAGGCACGAGCAGGATGGGAGCTGTGCACGGCCAGATGATGTTCTGAAATAAAGCCTGGGCATGACTCCCCATCAGACTAGTTCCAAAAATGAGAATTTTCAGAGGCACGACTATAATAGGAGTGGAAACTTATTCCTCCTAATTACATAATTGCATAATTATGCAGTATTAAAATTATATAAGCCGAACTCAGAGGCCTAAAACCTGGCCTGGATTTCCCTCATCACCTGCGGGCCCCCGGTCGCCTGCGGGGGGGATGACAAGGAGGGTCTGTGCCAACCAGGGAGGGGGCACGCAGGGCTGGGAAGGTCTGGGACCATTTCGCGTCTGCTTCCCAGCGACTGGAGTCTAGGGCAAAGCTTCAGGGACTCCCGGCCGGGGCAGAAAAACTGTTTAAAGACCAAGCTGTTCTCTGTTCTGAGAGGGAAATTGAGGACACGTGGCACCCCCTAGTTCTTAGCAAAGGACTGACAAGGGAGCGGCTCAGATCTGTGATTCTGTCTCCCCTCCAAGTGCACCTTCCCTCTGCTCTCAAACCTGAAATTCTTTCTAGACTCGCTCCCTGGGCAAGTTCTAGTGAGATCTCTTGCTTGCCTTGAAGAACCGAAGCTACTACTTTAAGGATTTCACGGCTCAGACTGACCCCTCTGTGCCCCAGGGCCTGCCTCCCCAACTCCCTCCTCCTCCATCCCGGCCAGCTGAGGGGGCCAGGACAGGGAACTCCCCTTTGACTCCTCGGAGAAGCCCGGTTGGCTGTGGGGCGGCCTGGGTCTCTGTCCCACAGGGTTCTCTAATGAGCTACCTCCCAGTGGACATTATAAGGACTCAGAGGTTTATTTTTCCTATCTGTGTTTATACCCATGATTTTTCTTTTTTTAAATCTGAGAATCAACAGGGGGCCTGATAGAGGAGGGAAAGGAATTCACACATTCACCCTGGTAAAGAACAGAAACGTGTCCCTTCTAGTCTCTCCTCCCGGGGAGGCTGGTTATTATCTCAAGCACCCTCATGGCAGGCTGGTGGCTGGAGTTGCAGGGGAAGGATGAAGCTTGTACTGGGGGGTGGGAGAGGCAGATCAGAGCCAGAGAGAGATGGAGGCGAGGACCAGAGAGGGTGGCAGGTGTCTGCAGCCATCAGCTCCCAGATGCCAATAGAAAAGCATAATCAAATCAAGAACTCTGGACAAACTGCCTTTGCTGTCAAGGCCCAGCATTGGACTCAGATATGACTGGGGTGGTGGTGGGGGATGGATGCTTTATAGAGGCCTCAAAAACAATGACTTTAATGGAGACGCGTCCTGCACTTACTTTTAGACAGCACTGCTGAGAACCGCTATACCAAGAACACCAAAAGGTTGGGGGCTGTAATTTTTCTTTGTGGTTAATTAGCTTCTTTTCTTGTTAGTCACTTATGTCTACAGTTTTCAAAATATAGTTTGAACAGAGAAAAATCTGCATTCCTACTGAGTTAATTCTATAACAGCAAATATACTGTACCTCAGGTACATTTTTCTTAAATTCCCGGCGGAGTTCAATTAAATGTTTATGAGAATGTTCACTCTCCTCCTGCCGTGCAGACAGCTCAGAAGCGACGGAATTAAGCTCCTTCTGGAACAATAAAAAAAGAGAGAGAGAGAAAAGAAAAAGATTTTTTTTCCTCCTTTTCCTTTTTAATCATCGTACAAAACAGCATTCCGAACAAGTTTTCTTAACTTACAAAGCTGAGAAAAGACAGGATATTGACTCCTGGCACAAATGAATAATTTACGAACCTGGGGATACAGCCGAAAAAAATCCGGGACAGCTTTTTTGCGCGTCGGAAGTCGGGCCAGATCAATAATCTCCCATAAAGTTGGGTGGAGCTGTTTTTTTCATCTCTCCCCCACCCCCCTGCCCCACCTCTTAAATTTCCAAGGGAGTGATGGCATAAGCTTGTCAGTAACTGTAGAAAACATCTCCAAACCGTGTCAAAATAGTCAAGTGCGGCATATTGTATGGGCATATTATAGTGTAAGAAAGTGCTGTCGACAGCTTTCATATATCAGAGACGGGAACAGTTCCAGCTATGACTTACTTACACTTAAGGGTTCATAAATACGCCTTTTAAGATATAGATGGCTTTTTAATTTCAGTAGATTTTGGAAAAATGAAGGTGCCAATAAGAAGCAAGCTGACCTTTTGTGTATCCTGCAGTAAATCATTTAAGGTTCACTTCGAGTGTAAGAAATATTTCACTGGAGGCTCCTGGATTCAGGAGAAATGGGCTGGAAGGGGCTCTGCCTACTTATGTGCGATGAAGCCGGCAGGCCAGGTTTTTACAGGATGTATGATGGAAGGAGAAGAGAGTGAGGGATGGGGGGGGGGCGCTCGGCTCACACGTCACAGACGATGTCTGCCGGCCGCACATGTATATTTGATCACCCCCCTCCCAGCTCTCTTCACGTTAACGGTGGCAGTTTCACAAGGGGAGTGCAATTCACCACGAGTTGTCATGGATTTCATTTGCATAATTCAAGAAATGCTCTGTTTATGTGGTCGGCTGCTTTCTTGCACCATCCCGAGATGGGTTTTTTTTCTGGACCATAACTCGAGGAGCATTTCTGTATATATCACCCGATTATATTTGCAGCAATCAAGCCCCATAATTTCCTAAATCCGGTGATGCAATAAATTTCTGCAATCAGATTTATTAAAAACACACACGCAGATGCGAGAGTGTATTTCTAGGGTGAACTCTTTAATCTAACATATGTATGATGAGGCCCGGCACTGTGTTGAAAGACCCCATTTGTCATCGCTAATACGCATTCATCTTGCACACACAATGAAACACTTTTACCATTAGATAATGAAATAAAAGTACTATTAACCCGCTGCAAATCCTTTTCCCTCTAAGAGACGAAATGCACGGTAATTGTCTTATATCATGTCTGAGAGTCGGTAAATCTGCTCAATAGCAGTTCACCATAGCATCATAAACCTCGTATCCATCTGAGGCTGGGAACCCCAAACCGGGCATAAGTGCCTCTGCCTATGGAACGTTTGGGAGAAGCCAGAGAGGGAATTTCTACATTTCCGGAGAGATGTCTAACCTCTCTGGAGAATCATGAGGCTAGAAAAGGGAAGGCGAAAGCATAAAAGTAGGGATTAAAATAGAGGGGCACGGGAACGGGGCTCGCGCTGCTCTCCAAGGTGCTGAAACCAAGTCCTCGGCACTCTACTGCGTCTGCGTCTAGTGCATTGAAGGCAGCGGGGTGTCCAGTACAAATGCCCCAAGGAATTTTGAACCAGGTGGGAGACAAGGAATTATGAGAGAGGAGATGAGAGAGAAATAGAAACAGCTTCTGAGAGTCTGGCAAGGTGACAGAAGATAAACAGTAGACTTCTGGTTTATCATCATTTAAAAAATACTGTAGTTTTCAAAAAAGAAACCACAATCGATCACGACCAAAATATTGAGTGACCGGGGAGAGATCTGTGTTTGCAGTAATAGGATTGATCAAAGGTAGACAAAAACCAACCAGGTGGCACAGCCAGGTGGACAGAACCTCACTTGGCAGGAAGGAAAGAATTGGAGTGTCATGGTCAATTTGAGTTGTGGCCACGTGCTCACAGTTTTTCTCATCTATCTGGAAGGCAAAGGCAGGATTTTCACACTGCTGCAGAGCGGACTGGGGTTGACACCACCCGGTTTTGGGTTATTGTATATCTGAGGCTCTGTTCTTATCTCTGGGATGCTGCCCCTCCCTCCCTGTACCCCACAACCCACATTCTTGGTGGGGACTCCTCATTTAAAACATCAAACCTCAGGCTCTCAGAGCAGGATAAGTCCCACTGCTTGATGTGCTGTTCTGGACAATTATCCCCTGGGCCTGCCTTGGGTCCCTCTATCAGGACCTCTCAGGCTGCTGGTGGGTGCAGATGTGTCTGCTGTGTCCTAAAGAGCACCGGCAGACCCCCAGCCCTGGCCCTACTGCAGGCACAGCTCATGGTCTTTCCAGGTTAGCCCTAGAGGGGCAGATAATGTGACCAACTTTGCCTAAATCTATGCTTATCCTTCAACCCTAAATTTCTGCTACATTTCTATGGTGAGCCGATAGACAACACTGGCATCATCATAAACAAACAGTAGGTCACGTCGGATCTACCATTTGTTGGGTGTTTCCATGTACCCAGCACCAAGCCAGTAAGTGCCTCATGTATATCATCTCATGTAGCAAACATACTCATGTTTCCGTCAGGCGATTCAAGTGGGTTCAGAAATAAGTTATAGTCAAGCCTAATAATTCGGGTGTGGGGATCTCCTTGGTAGATTAAAAGGCAACATTCTAATGCCCTGCCTACCCAGGGCTGCTATTCCATTTCCCCTCTAGCCAGGGGATGTTCAGGGAGCTTGTTTTAAAAATGTGCACAGTGTGTTCAAATAGTTTGGCTGATATCAGTCTTATATTTAGATAAACTGTGAACCCAGAAAATACCTCCCTACATTAGTGGTTCTAAGTTCTGAATTTCACAGGTCAGTAAAAATCTCACCAAAAAAAGGGAGGACTGACAGAGTATGGCTAAGTCTGCTGTATGAAGTAAAGACATTAGAAACCGTTTCCAAACACAGTAAGAGAAGGAATATTTGAACATCAACAAAGCAAGAGGGCCACGACGGAAGAGACGAGCATCTTTTCAAATAAACACATTTTTAAAAAGCTCACGGCCCTATTTATTTTGCTGGGGAAAAACTATAAACACAAACCACCACTGGTTTGAAGTCACCTTCTAGAAATGAATGTCCAAAGCCCCTCACACACATGCACTGTGTGAGCCAGCAGGGCCTCTCCTTTGATGATCAAGCAGAACTCGGGATGCTCTCCCACCCCAGCCCCCAGCCCCCAGCCCTAGGGGAGCTGTGATTAACACAGCCCCAGACTTTGGGCCAGGCCCAGGCGGGGAGAAGACTCATCTGATTAACCGGCCATCAGCAGCAGACAGACAGCCCGGAGCCCGGCACAGACCATTCAAATAATGATCATCATAAACAGCCCATTTGCAACTAAAAAGAAATAATTTTAATGAGCTTGAAGCAGATGATAGATGCAGCTGAGGCTAGGGCCAATGTGCTGAGAGAAAGGAAGCTGGGATGGAGCCGCACCCGGGATGAGGGGTGGCAGGAGGAGGTGGGGGGGCAGGAAGGGCTCTCTGATGGGATCTACAGTCCTGCTACTCGTCCACCCAAGAGGCCACTGCCCGGAGGCTGCCCCTAGCTCAGGAGGGTCTGTCACGCAGCCTGCTGGGCAATCACGGGACTCGGACCTCCAAGGCATGCAGTTTTGGAACATACAAGCCAGAAGACGTTTCAAGACCGTCCAGTCCATCACTGTCCAAACTTTGACCACAAAGGTTCCGCTGCAAGCATTTTGCATATTCCACCTGAACTACTATTTAATTAGTATTTATCTTGAAACTGACTCCTCTCTTTTCTTTTTGATTGACTTGTGCACAGCTTTAAGTTCAATGAATTTTTACACCCTGGCCCTGATCTAGATATGGAACCATCATGTTCCTAGCACCTCAGAAACTTCCTATGTCCCCTCCAAGTGACTACTCCTGACAGGTAACTGTGATTCTGACCCCAGCATCATAGATAAATTTTGCTTTTCTTGAACTTTATAGATTATGTCCCCTTTTTAACCTAATTAAGTATTTTTGGAAAAGAATTTTTGTGAATCACCAGAGAATCCTATGCCATAAGCAAATGGTAACCATTTTAGATGGCCCCAATAATAGTACAATGAAAACAAAGATTGTTGTCCATCTTTGTTATAAAAAGAAATTGGTTGGAAGTGCTGGAGAGGTGTTAAATGGAACACGTACCAAACAGGAATGTTCTTTATGTTAGGACGAGAGGGTTCCGAAGAGAACTGAGAAGGAACAACAATTCCTCCAGTGCTCTGATTTCACTTCAATGCAGGAATATGTAACTAGAGTATTTGGACCCTAATCCCCCCACCCATCTACTCACCCACCATCCATCCCCATCCATCCCTCCCTCCACCCAACAGGTCATCCATCTTCCACCTGATCATTCATTCATCTGTTTATCCAATATCCATCTATCAAATCGCACAACAAGTCATCAATCCATCTATCATCTATCCATTCAACCATCTGCTCATCCACCCATACTCTCATCCATCCGTTCTCTTAACCACCCATGCATACACACATTCATCCATCCATTCAACTAATCACTGAGCCCCAATTCTGTACCACACACAGTACTAGGTACTGGTATACCACCCAACACAGCCCCTGTCCTTGACAAGTTCACAGTGCAGGGGAGGAGACAGACCGGTAAATTCTAACTCTGTTGCCAAAGTACAGGTGAGAAGAAGTATGAGTGAAGTACAATGGGAAGGTGCAAGGTGACACTGTGGCTGGGAAAGCATTCCACAGTGGGGTCATTTAACAGGGGTTCAGAAGGACAGGCTCGTCAGATGAAGAAGCCAAGGTCTCAGGTAGAGGAGATTACTGCCTTATTCCCTAACTGGTCTTTCTGGTCCTGAATTTAGTTTCTTTTCCTTAATATAGATCACTATCAAACACACCAGCTTATT